ATATATATATATATATATATATATATATATATATATATATATATATAGTTCATGTATTCTGCTCAACAGATCACGTGAGGCTGGGCTCTGTAAATATTGTTAGAATTTGCTGAAATGGAAATATCCCACTCTCGCTCTAATCCAAGGGATTTAACAAAAAGGTGACACTGGCTGCATATAGACAGGAGCTACAAGAAATGCTAGAAGCTGCATTCAGTTATTAACCATTTTAAGACAATCTCTAGTTTAAACCATTAAAATCCAAGCTATAGGACCACGTTGTAATTAAAGCTGATCTGTCACCTCTCACTATATGATAAAGATATATTCTTTATTGAATACTGATCAGGACTGCATTGGGATTTCAGTGACAGATACCATAAGGCAAATAGGGACTTGTTTTGTCTTATGGTAAATCCTGAGGATGACAGAGGTTGTTAAAACATTTGACAAATAATCCCAGCAGCCATCACACACGATGGCTGTGGGATTCAGGCCTCGGTCTATGGAGATTCACGATCCCACATGATCCACCATAGACCTTAGTGCTGTATCCTCACACATGAATGAGAGTACTGGACTGACGACCTCCTGGAAACGGAAAAGTCAGGAGATGAAGAGACCTGCAAAACTAAGATGTCGGCAGCTGCAAGTGACTCTTCAGTGCCAGGAAAAAAATAAAATAAATCAGTTTTCCTGGCACTGCAGGTCCACTCTCCCTCCCACCATCCATCCCCGGTTGCTGAAGGGGTGAAAACCCCTTCAGTGACTTACCTGAGACCCCCGCAGAGGGTCGCCGCCGCTGCTCCTCCTCTTCATCATCACGTCAGCCGGCGGGGGAGACTGATCCCGCCCGCCAGCTGAGGAGACCTAATACGCATGAGGAGTAGACAGCCACTAGAGGAGGCGTTAACCCTGCAAGGTAATTATTGCAGTTTATGAAAACTGCAATAATTACAGTTGCAGGGTTAAGGGTAGTGGGAGTTGGCACCCAGACCACTCCAATGGGCAGAAGTGGTCTGGGTGCCTGGAGTGTCCCTTTAAGGTAAGTAAAATTTACCTTCCCCCACACTCCACAGCCACAGGACCCACACAGGATCTGTACCTTTCGGGGGTCGTACAAAATATGCAAAGACCTGCTTTACGCTTGGAATGTCAATGGCTGTTACAGGGCTGAACAAGAAAGGATGGAAGGATGTATTGAAAGCTAGGGACTGGTCCTGCAAATATGGGACTGCTGTCAGTTAAAAAACACAATTACAGATAAATCTACTTCAACCTGCCCCGCATGGGTTAAAGGAAAGACAAACCAGCTGGATTCTGTATATATTCCAGGAAGAGGTTCTACACAGTCCTGCTTGTACACAGGTAAACATAACACAGACTGTTTGCTTGACACACATAGGAGCGTTCAGTTCATCAAGGGGGCTGGGCAGTAATCAGGCATTCAGAGGGTTAAGGTTAGTTTAAGTTGCCCTACCTACAATGTTTTTCATTCGTTTTAATACCACAATATCTGCGGTATATGAGTAGGCTAGTATACTGAAAGGATATTTTCATTAAAAAAAAAGTGAACTGTTAAAGATGTCTCAATATCTTCTAGGCCAGTGATGGCGAACCTTTTTGAGCCCGAGTGCCCAAACCGCAATACATGCCAACTTTTTTCTCCTTAAAGTGCCAACACGGCAATTAAACCCAAATACTGAGGTTTAAGTTTAGAAAAAACAACTCGTACTGTTGTCCGAACTAATAACTTTTGTTTTAAAAGAACACAGAGAGTTCAATGATACAAATTTTAAATAATGATATAAATAGATAAAATTAAGCTTATATTTATTATTATCTCCAACAAATGCAATACATACACACACAGACTGCTGAATACACACACACATGACTGCTGAATACAGAGACTGCTGAATACACACACACAGTCTGCTGAGTACACACACACAGTCCGCTGAGTACACGCAAACACACACAGACTGCTGAATACACACACTGCTGAATACACACATACTGCATTGAGGTGGGGGGTGCTGTGTGTGTGTGAGTGTTGTATGTGAGGGGTGCTGTGTGTGTGTGGGGGGTGCTGTGTGTGTGTGTG